AAAAAGAAAGCGGTACCCCGAGAAGCCTTGAAATGACCTGGTCACGTGTGTGTAAGACGGTGTGTGTGTGTGTGTGTGTGTGTAAAACAGTGTATGTGTGTGCAAAACAGAGTGTGTGTGTGTAAAACGGGCTGTGTGTGTTAAACAGTTGTGTATGTGTGTGAGAGTGTGTATGAAAAGTGTGTGTGATAATGTGTGAGTTTGAAAGTTTATATATTAATTATTAAACCACATAAATTGATATATTAAATCCTAAAAGTTGAGATATTAAACTACATAAATTGAGATATTAAATCCTAAAAGTTGAGATATTCAACCTCATAAGTTGAATTAAAAATGAAATGGATCCATTTGGATCCAATCCGGATCGGTCTAAATTCGATCCACATTAAACCTATTCATATAGGTTGATATTGGATCCGGATCCTTTTGAATCCGATCCACATGGATCCGGATCGGATCCGGTCCAAGTTGAGAAATTGCCACCCCTAATTAAAATCCATGGCAATAGAGTCTTCAATCAATATATACCGAGAGAGATGGGATACATAATTAATTTAAGAAAATCAATAACATTAAAGGTAGAAGTTTACCTGATTTTGGACCTCGCTTTGAGAAGTCCGTTCGCGGGAGGGGAAGTTGAAAGAGAACTCGCCGGCGTGGAATTTTTTACGCCCGTCTGAGTCGAGAAGCAGCAGCAAATTCTTTTTCTTCTGAAAATTGGTGTTTGCTAGAGATTAGAAATTGGGGATTTTTTTTCTTTTTCAAAACGACGATATAAATTTTAGAGAGAGAAAGAATCCAGAGTTCTGGAATAAGGGTTTAAAGAGTGAGAAAGAATCCGAGTTGAAATAAGAAAAGGAGAGAATTAATGACTTAATTAATTTATAATAAGGACTCTTAATTTGTATTTTAAGGAATTCTATGAGCCGTATATTATTTCTATTATTAAACAATTTAATAATGACATAAAATTGTTAATTTGCTCCTTATTTTGTAAATTTATAATTTAAGCAATTTTTTATCCGTAGCTAATTCTGTTGCTATAAATTAATTAACAAACCGCTTTGTTGTTCGTATGTGATCTCCGTACGTGAATTTTCATATCAAAGGGACGAGTTTACTATCTGTCGCTACATCTGTCGCTACAATATTTTAATTAGAGACGGATTTAACGGTCGTCGCTAATGACATCGCTATATATAAACTATAGTCATCAAAGAAACGGATTTATAGTCCGTCACAAATTCCGAAGCTAACTGGTCAATTTTGAAACGGATCTATATTCCATCACAAAAGTTCGTCGCTAAATCGTGATTTTCTAGTAGTGGTGCGGGTTATTCACAAATATTTTGACCATATCTTCAAATCTTTCA